CTCCCTGGCCGCGTTTGTACAAATCGCGGGTGCTCAGTGCCCACGCCGCTCTGCTTTACCTTGGCTCTGTGACCTTCGTGCTCTTGACTTCGTTGCCCCACAAAGCAACTGGAATATTTCCAGCTGCCGCTGGCTGACAAAGTGGTTACCCCGAGGTCAGTGGTCTCCCAGACTTTGAGCTGGAGAATGTACCACGATGAAGATCACGACGATGATGATGCCGATGATGATGCCGACGGTCATGGCGATGATGGTGAGATGATCAGGAGGAGGAGGAGGAGGAGGAGGATTACGTGATTGCCGCTGTGCCGTTTGCAAGGTGCACCTAGTAGCCATGATGTGGCCGACCTTACTGCTGACAGCCCGTGTTGTTAGCCACGGCTGCAGTTGCAGCAATGTATGTTCATCAGCACCCAAGGCCACGTCAAGTCCAAAAGTCCACCTTTGCCGCCAAGATGCCAGAGCCTTCACCCGAATCTGCAAGATGCGAATCTGCTCCTTGGGATTCAGAATGTAGGCTTTTCGCATTCAGGATTTGATCATGGCCTGTACAAAAGCCTAAAGCGGAGACACCCTTCGGACAGCACAAACTCAAAACGACGTAAACCGTTAACCCCTTAAGCCTGACTAAACCAAGAAAACCTGAAATTCTACACCCTGAGGCTACCTGAACCTTGAAACTTTGCACCTCATGTCCGAAGGGATGTCAGCCGACCACTGCAGCAGGAAGATGCGACTTAAGTCCAAGACACGTGGCGACTTACTACTGTAGGGGCCTTAATAATTACAATAAGCTTTTGGGGTGTTTTATTTTACAGTATAGATAGAATAAGGAACCCCAAATAAATGGTATAGGTAATTCTTCAGGCTTCTAGATTATAAAGCTCCTGAGTCCTAAACTCGAAACCTAACTCCTTTGTCCAAAGGCCTGGAGCATCTTCTCAAACCCAGGTTGCTTTTCCGACATTTCGCCACGTTCGACGTAGCGCAGTGGTTGAAATCCAGGCGCAGAATAGCAATTCGTAGTACTATTCCTTCAAGTTGCTTACTATAGGTACAGAGTGAGATAGCCCAAAACTCATAAAGCCCCTACCTATAGTCTCCATTGTAGTTCCTTTTTTTGGTTTAACCAAATATATATTAAGGATTTTATAAGGTATCCCCAAAAAGGAACTACAATGGAGACTATAGGTGCTCATAAACCTCCATGGGAGAGATATGTCTGACCCTCAAACAATTCAGGCAGGGGGCCCGGCGCTGCACATGAAGATGAACAATCTTTAGTGGGTTTAGGGTTTAGGGT